GGCCCCCTATGACTACTGGGTCCAGGGGCTCATGGGGTAGTGGTGTCAGGGTTGACCCAACCATGGATTTTAAGAGGCTGCTATGGAATACCAGGTGCATCTTCCCTAGCAGTCAGGGCAATTTTAATTGACCCATGACTGGGTTGATAATCTTCAATATGGGGAATGGCCCCATGAATTTGGGTCCCAGCTTCTTACTGGGGAGTTTTAACCTCAAGTATTTTTTGGAGAGGTAGACCTTTTCCCCTAGCTGTAATGATCGTTGTGGGGTTTGGTGTTTGTCTGCATGTTTCTTATAGGTCTGCACTGCTTTAGCTAGTGCCTTCTTGACATTTCTCATGCTGCTTTTAGCATTGACAGCCAGTCTATCAAGCTGATTGAGGAGGGGGCATCCCTCAGGTATTCTGGCATTGGGTTGAAGTCCATGCTGCTCATTACTTTGAACAGAGTTAGTCCTGTGCTACTGTGAACAGCATTATTGTATGTGACCTCAGTGAAAGGCAAGAGGTCCACCCAATTGGACTGCTAATAGTTCACCTAACACCTCAGGTACTGCTGTACCATGGTGTTCAAACATTCTGTCCCCCCCCCTCCATTGGTAGCTGGATGAAAAGCTGAGCTAAGGCCCTGGGACAACCCAATAGACTGCAGGAACTCCCTCCAGAAATTAGCTGTGAACTGGACCCCTCTGTCTGAAATTATTCTTTGTGGTACTCCATGCAGGCTATAGATGTGCTTCAGGAACAATTTGTCTAACTGGCGGGTTGAGAGTAGTCCGCTGCAGAGTATGAAGTGTACCTGCTTGGAGAATAAGTCAATAATCATCCAGATCACTGTGTTCCCCCCACTCTTTGACAACTCCACTATAAAGTCCATTGCTATTTCCTTCCATGGCCTCATCGGCTCTGCCACTGGTTGCAGCAGTCCAGAAGGTTTTCCTGGTCATTTTTTCATAGTGACACAGATGGTGCAGATAACTGTCCATATCTATTTTTATGCTGGGCCACCAAAATTGCCTCCATGCTAAGTATAAAGTCTTTAGGAACTCAAAGTGGCCTGCTGATTTAATATCATGGCTTTGTTGGAGGATTAGGATGCGTAGGGACTCTGGAATGTAGTTTCACCCCCTTCCATGCAAAGTCATCTCTTTTTGTCAAGATGTGTTGGTTGTTTCAGAACCGGGTCTGCTTACAGTTTTGAGTTTTGTGGTTAGATCGCTTTCAGGTTGGTCCTGCCAGTTGCAGCATGGTTGTCTGTTCATCACTTGGGCTGCTGTTTGGGTAGTGGGGGATGATGGTATCTACTACCTTCTCCTATTCTCATTTGTACTGGGGCATGTGGGAGAGGGCATCACTAGGAAATTCCTTCCCCCAAGGATATGTTTCAGCACAAAGTTGAATTGGTTGAAATATTGGTCCCAGAGGGCTTGTTTGGGCAATAATTTCCTAAGGGTCTCCAGATTTTATGCTTAGTCCAAACTTCAAACAGTTCCCCCCACTTCTAGTAGGTGGCATCAGGTTAGTAGTCCTCATCTTACCACAAAAGCTACTTTTTCCCATGCAGCCTGTATCTCTCTGTGTCTGTGAGTTTACGGGAGGTGAAGGTACGGGAGATAGAGATGTAATTTTTCTTGGCTATTTCTTTGGAGTAGCATTGTTCCCACTGCCACACTGCTAGCATCTGCTTGGATGATGAAGGTTTGTTTGGGGTCCGGATACTTCAGCACTAGTTCCTTTGAAAAAAGTCCTTTTAGTGTTTTGAATGCCTTTTGCCAGGTTAGATCGCACTGCAGGGGTTGTCCTGGGTGGGGCTTTGCCCCTGGGCCTCCTGTCTTGAGGAGGTCTGTCATGGGTTTGGAAATTCTCATGAAGGAGGGGATGAATTGTCTGGAAATGTTTGTGAATCCTAGGAAACTTTGTAACTGTCTGAGGGTACAAGTGGGCTATCTTTGGCTAGGTCCATCTCTATGCCCTCATTTGACACTCAGTAGTCCATGGAATCTAGTCATTCATGGTGAAATTAGCATTTTGACAGCTTGATGTAAGGTTTGCAACCCAAAGTTTTTCTAGTACCTGTTGGACTAGGGGTATGTGGTTCTCCATGGTCTTGGTATAAATGAGGATGTTGTTCAGGTAGACCCCATTATAGAGGTGAGGCAGCACCACATTCATTAACTGCATAAACCCTGCTAGGGGGCCTACAGTCCAAAAGCATTACTGTGAATTGGAAGCTCCCTAGGGGGCAGTTGGATGCTGTTTTCCATTCATCTCCCTCCCTGATGCAAATTCAGTAGTATGCTTCTCTGAGGTCTAATTTAGTAAATACTTTTCCTTTGGCTAAGTGAGACAGCATATGCTTCATGAGAGGGAGGGGGTATAGGTTGTGCACACACATGCAGTTTATACCTCTAAAGTCCAAGCATAATCTCATAGTTCTATCTTTTTTTTCTTTAAATAGGATTGGAGCTGTGACCCATGGCTTGGCTGGCTTCATGAACCCCCTTACTAGGTTTTTGTCTATGTATTTGTGCATTTCTTTTTTTTTTTTTTTGCATATAAATTTTATTGAATTTACAATTAAAAAAATAACATAACAACATTACATAAGAAACAGAGAGAGAAAAAGAAGAAAGAAAGAAGAGAAAGAGAGAGGAAGAAAAAAAAAAAAACGCTCGGTCTTGCGACCGAAAAAGGAGAAAAAGGAGTATAAACGAGAGAAAACAAAAACAAAAACAAAGAAACGGAAGAAAAAAGAAAATACGTTAAAACCAGACAAATATTCTTTTTGACAGTCTACAAGATCCAATTCTCCAATTCTTCTCTTACTTTAAATATACACATCTTATCGCTATTTATGGATATTTATGCTTATTTATGCTCATTGAACAGTTTATCTCTGATATAACCAATTATACCATGCATTCCAATTATTATCAAATGCTGAAGACTCTTTATTTTTAAGAGCTATGGTTAAATTGTCCATTTCTGTGCAGTCACATATTTTCTGAATGACAATTGATCTGTAGGTAAACGGGATGATTTCCAGCACTGAGCAAATGCTAATCTGGCCGCAGTTAGAATATGAATTGATCAAATTGAATATAAACCAGAGTTCTTCCTACTAGGGATTTCTGATAAACATTTTCCTAAAAAGACGAAATATATAATAATTCATATTCTAACTGCGGTATTTGTGCATTTCTTGCATTTCCCAGGGTGTCATGGTGTACCATTTGGGTTTGGGTAATTTTGCCCCAGGAATGATTTCAATTGTGCAGTCTGTCTCACAGTGGGTGGGGGGAAGGTAGGATGTCACAATCGGCCTCACTGAACACTTCTGCAATGTCCTGATGTTCTTTGTGGATCTGTTTGACCACTTGAGTTTTGTCGGAGATGGCTGCCAATAGTTCTGGCGCAGGAGAGGTTGGGGTCATCTAGCTATCCTCAGCCTCCAGATACCCCCTTCCCACCAGATTGTTGGGCCCCATTTGTCTAGCTAAGAGAGCCCCAGTATGACCGTGTCTGTCATTTTGGGGACTATTATGAATCAAATTGCTTCCCAGTGCTCCGCTAGCTCTAGTTTTGCTGGTTCAATCAGATGGGTTGCGTAGGCTCCCCCCCAATAGGGACTCATCAACCTTTTTTGAATCTGATTGAGTGGGCCAGTTTTTTCATTCTAAACCCCAGTTTCAGGACCATGACTAGGTTAATCAGGCATCTAGTGCAGCCTGTCTATTAGGGTTTGAAAAGTGCCCCGAGTCCCTGTTTGGGGGGCTGTGAGGTATATAGGGAAAACAAAGGGGCAGATTGGTTCACTCACCATGAGATCACCTTCACTATCATCCTCACTGTCATAAGGGTCTGGCAATTGGTCATCGTTGGCTGGAGTTCCCCCTCTTCGACTGGGTTAGGAGGGACCTCTATGGCCTGGAGGGCTTTTCGAGACATGTTGGCGGCATGCCTGGGGCCTTGTTCTGGTCACACCCTGGGTGATGGCTCTGGCTTGGGTTTCAGAGCTGGGGTTGTGTATGCAAAGCAATGTAGCCCATCCCTCCTCTTCTGTAGCATTTCAACTGCCTTCATGGGGTGGTTTGTTTTGGGGCCAACTGTGCTGCTGCCATCTCCCATTGGCCGGATGGTCTCTGGTCTGGTTGGCCTCTCTCCTTGGTAACCAGTTGGTTCTGTGTGTTGTTGGCACACAATCTGCAGTCAACTTTTATGGCCACTCAGAATCACTCAAAGTCGGTTTGGAATGTCCCAATAGATGGTTACTTAGGCAATTTGCTTGTCCAGGCTCGTTCTGAAAAAGTGAACTAATAGCTGCTCTGACAAAGCGGGTAGCTTCCCCATGACTCTCCTGAATTCATGGATGTGTTCCTTAATGGGTCGCCCCCTCTGCTTTAGGTTTCAGAGGTCATCCTCTGCCTATGTATCTTCCTCCAACTCCTCAAAACTGTCATCTAGCTCTTATAGGAAGTTGTTAATGTCTTGCAGCTGGGGGACTCTCTTCTTATGGAGGGGTGCTAGCCATTCCTTTGTTCCCTCCCAAATGATGGTATTCACTATGGCTCTGTGTGATGGGTAGAGGTGTCTGTAGCACTCTAGGTAGACTCTAGCAGAATCAAGGAATAGAGCCAGTTGATCCAAGTCTCCATCGAATTTCCCCTTGAATCAGGGCAGTTCATTTAGCCCTGTTCCTCCCTCATCATATTGGTCCCCATATGCCTGTGCTTTGGCAGTCTCTCTTGGCTCTGGTTCAGAGGGGGGGGGGCGCCCACCTTGGATGGCTTGCCTGTTGCACAGAGGAGCCACTGGCAGCAGCCTCAGGCTCATTCCCCCTCTGGGTGATGGAAAAGGGAACCTGCATTCCTGTCTGCTTCTCCTCACTTTAAAGGGCTCAGTTGCAACCCCCCCCCCCACTCTTTTGAGTGGCACAACAACCCCTCATTATGAAGAGTGGTTCATTCAAATTTCTCCCTCAGCTTTTCTAAGAATCCTCCCAAGGGTTCCATCAGAGTTTTTGTGAGTCTGGCTCATTCCCAGTCCACCATCCATTCCAGTTTTCCTAGCTCGCTCAGGGCTCTGGGGTGGGGAGCTCAACCTCAGCCACTTTAGGGACTTTCCACCAATACCCATCTCTTCTTGTTCCAGTCACTGAGGTGGACATCTCAGTTTTGATGTCCAGGGAAGGCTGCAATTTGGTTACAGTTGGGCTGCTGGTTCCTAGAGTTCCCTGAGTGGGGGCAAGTTCTTCCCCACTCTGGGTCACCTGGAAGAGGCTCTCTTAGGATAGTCCACCTTTTGACATGGTAGCCTGAGTTTCTCTCCATGTACCCCAGATGTTGGAGAGCAGATGGAGAGTCCAGGGCTCAGGAATCCTGGTTATTTTTATTAGTTTTGAGAGAGTTGACTCATTTCAGGGTTCTGATTGATAACTGGATTTCTTTTGAAGCTTAGCCTGAGGCTCATTATTAGTTAAATCATGAGTCTTAGGCTAAGCTTTAAAAGAAATCCAGTTATTTATTAGGAGCTTCATGTCGGCACAGATCAAATGGAACCAACTCTGACTTCACTTAATTAGCGCTTTGGCTCTGACCTTGTTTTTCCCTCCCCCCAAGATGTGTCATCAGTCACATCCCCCAAGGAAACAATTTCACAGGTTGTAGAAGTCACTCCCTCCAGCCACTGTGGGTTTCCATGGAGATGACCTTTGCATTGCCAACTGGAATGTGCTTTGTTTTGACTGAAATGCAAGCTCCTTGATGCACAAAATTAACTCACAACACACCATATAGATAAATATTTAATTTTTTTATTTAAAAAAGAGCAACTTTTATCCAAAAGCAGGCAAAGCAGGCAGACAGATTGAGTTGCTCACAGAATCACAGATTCACTTAGAGATTTATCTATCTGCAATCAGCTACCTGAGTCTGCACTGAAAAGCTTCAGTCCTAAGGAAGGTTCGGCTCTGCTTTTAGATTAGATAGAAAGCAAGAAATCCAAGGATTTCCTGCTTTCTAGCTAATCTAAATCTCCCAGAAGAGCAGAACAGCTGATGGTTGGGGAGGGGAAGGAAAAATAGCAACTTACCAACCAGGCAAGTTGGATGGCTCACATGCCAGGTAAAGAGTGAGTGGGAGGGGAGGGGAGGGGCCAGTCAGTGGAGTGATTTGCTGGTTCTCTGAACTTCAGATGATCATAACATGTGTGTGTGTGCAGCATTTGCGAGAAAGCTGTGCTGCTGCACACGGGTGTGCAGCATTTGAAAATCTTCTTGTTTCCTGCTTACTTACTCTTCTAAGTAAATTAAACCAACTAGCAGAACCTGAACACACTTGTAAGTGGATCATAAGCTTCCTAACAGACAGGAAGCAGCAGGTGAAGCTAGGCGGAATCACATCCGATACTTCCACAATCAGCACAGGTGCCCCCCAAGGCTGTGTGCTATCTCCACTTCTCTTCTCCCTATATACCAATGACTGCATTTCAAACAATCCATCTGTTAAAATACTGAAATTTGCTGATGACACAACAGTGATTGGTCTCATTCAAGACAACGATGAATCTGCATACAGACAGGAGGTTATACAACTTGCCTCGTGGTGTAACTGGAACAATCTGGAACTGAACACACTCAAAACCGTAGAAATGGTGGTAGACTTTAGAAGAAACCCTCCTATACTACCACCTCTTACAATACTAGACAACACAGTATCAACAGTAGAGACCTTCAAATTTCTAGGTTCTCCTATGTCACATGACCTAAAATGGACACCTAACATCAAAAACATCATCAAAAAAGCACAACAAAGAATGTTCTTTCTGCGCCAACTCAGAAAGCTCAAACTGCCCAAGGAGCTGCTGATACAGTTCTACAGAGGAATTATTGAGTCTATCATCTGCACCTCTTTTACTGTCTGGTTTGTTTCTGCAACCCAACAGGACAAACACAGACTTCAGAGGATAATTAGGACTGCAGAAAAAACAATTACTACCCACCTGCCTTCAACTGAGGACCTGTATACTGCATGAGTCAAAAAGAGGGCTGTGAAAATATTCACAGACCCCTCACATCCCGGACATAAACTGTTTCAACTCCTTCCCTCAAAACGACGCTATAGAGCACTGCACACTAGAACAACTAGACGCAAGAACAGTTTTTTCCTGAAAGCCAGCACTCTGCTAAACAAATAATTCCTTCAACACTATTCAATGATTTACAAAGTGTACACTACTATTACTGTTAATCTTCTCACCACTCTTTACCACCCATACCCTCCCACTTGACTGTTTCCTAGTATGATTTGATTGTTGATTGTACCCTATGACTATCATTAAGTGTTGTACATTATGATTCTATTTTTTTTTTTGAGAACAATTTTGTTGGTTTCTTAAAAACAAACAAAGCAAACAAAACATAAAAACATCAGCTCTCTTCCATACATATATACAAGCAATGTGTCGGTTGGTTCATCAGTTTTGTGCATTCATTTCGTAGTCTCAATTACAGTTACATTACATAATAACTCATATTATCAATCCAAACTTATATATCCTAGTATCACTATTAGAAAATCATTTGACTATGATTTTATTCATTCAAACTTTATGAGATAACTATAATTTAGGTAGTTTATTCTATAACAAGTCATATAATCATACCAAATCTATCCTAAAAACACTTTATAGATATGGTGTCAAATAACAAAAGAAAAAGAAAAAACAAAGATATTCCTTGTTATCTAACATTCTAAATATTCTATTATTGTATTTTAGCATCCAACCATTGATAGAAAAGGTCCCAAATTTTATAGAATTGTTTATCCTCTTGCTCTCTAATTTCAAATGTCAATCTACTCATCTCAGCACATTCCAATATTTTCTTAATAATTTCTTCCTGCAATGGTATTTTCTCATTTTTCCAATTTTTAGCAAATACAATCCTAGCCGCTGTTAATAAATTTACAATCAGGTATTTCAAGTCTTTACTATATATTTCAGGTAAAATTTCCAATAAAAATATCTCTGGTTTCAAGTCTATATGTTTTTTTGTCATTTTTTCCAACTACATGTGGATTTTAGTCCAGTATTTTTTAGCATCCGCACAAGTCCACCACATATGGTAATATGAGCCAGGTATCTGATGACATTTCCAGCATTTTTCAGATTTATTCTTGAACATTCTTGCTATCCTTGTCGGGGGGAAAGTGCCACCTGTAAAACATCTTATACAGATTTTCTTTTATAAGCTGTTGACATTGTCATTTTATAATTTTGCGACCGTAATTTTTGCCATTTCTCTAAATCAATCCCATATCCAAAATTCTTCCCCCAAGCAATCATAGTTTCTTTAACTTGTTCTTCCTCTAGCTTAATTCCCAGTACATAACCATATAATTTTTTGATCACCTTTTCATCAGTACCTGTCAAAATCTTATCTAGATCAGTCTGTTTATCATAAAATCCCTGTTTTAGAATCTTCATCATACCTTGAGTGTATTTGCACATATGAAAACCAATTCATCTTTATACCTTGTTCCTCTAGATTTTGTATCGATTTAAGTTCACCCTTTTCATCTAATAATTCCCCATATCTAACTGTTTGTTCCTTCTTATAGATTATAGGATAGGAAAATGCTTCAATAGTCGATAACCAAACTGGAATTTTCAAATAACATTGTCTTTTTATCTTCTCCCAGTTTAACCACAAAGACTCCCGTATGTAATGTCTTCTAAAGTAACCCTGTGTTTTAGTTCCCTTATACCATAAAAAAGCGTGCCAACCCAACAGCAAATCATGACCTTCTAGTGTCAACAATCTAGTCTTTCTTAGTGTTATCCATTCCTTGACCCACATCAAATTTGCAGCTTGGTAGTACAACTCCCAATTAGGCAGGCCAAAACCTCCTCTAATTCTAGCATCTTGCAAGAGTTTTAGCTTTATTCTCGCTTTCTTACCTTGCCATATATACTTCAGCACAATTTTATTTAAGTCTTCAAAATAGTCTTTTCCGAGTCTAATTGGTATTGTTTGAAACAAAAATAAGATTCTGGGTAAAATATTCATCTTGATTGTTGAAATTCTCCCTATTAATGACAATTGTAAGTTTTCCCATTTCTTCAGATCTAAGGCTATCTGTTGTTTAAGTTTAATATAATTATTCTCTTTTAATGTACTACATCTTGATGTCAAGTATATCCCCAAATACTTGACCTTGTTCGTGACTTGGATTTTCAACAGGTCTGCCAGTTCTTCTCTTTGTCTTAGTAGCATGTTCTTTGTCAAGATCTTTGTTTTATCTTTATTTATTTTCAGACCAGCCACCTCGCCATATGTCTCTATCTTTTCCAATAGCTTTGGAGCTGTTTCTAAAGGATCTTCCAAAATAAAAGCTAAGTCATCCGCAAAGGCTTGCAGTTTGAATTCTTCCTTTTTAATTTTCATTCCTTTTATGCTTTTGTCCTCTCTAATATTTCTATTCAACACTTCCAAGGTCAATACAAATAGCAAAGGAGATAGAGGACATCCTTGTCTTGTGCTTTTTCTTATACCAATAAAGTCTGTAAGTTCTCCCTCCATCATTATCTTTGCCGTTTGCTTATGATAAATGGCTTCTATTGCTTGAATAAATTTTCTGGCAAAACCCATCTGTTCCAGTAGTAGTAGCATAAATCTCCAGTTCACATTATCAAATGCCTTTTGAGCATCTAGGAATATCAAAGCCATTTGCTTTTGAGGATGTGCCTCATAGTATTCCAAAGTATCCAGGATTACTCTCATATTGTCTCTAATTTGTCTCTTTGGCAGAAATCAATTTTGGTCTGGATGAATGAAATTATTTAAATATTTTTTAAGTCTTTCTGCTAAAATTGAAGCAAAGATTTTATAGTCGGCATTTAATAAAGAAATAGGTCTATAGTTCTTAATTTGCAGTGGATCAGCCTCTTCTTTTGGAATAAGTGTAATATAAGCCTCTGACCATGTTTTAGGTATCATCTTCTTTGACATAGCTTCATTCATGACTTCTAACAATGGAATGCTCAATGATTCTTGTAGTGTTTTATAGAATTCTTCCAGAAGCCCATCTGGACGTGGTGCTTTCCCATTATTTTGTTTCTTAAGTGCTTCAGTTAATTCCATCATTGTTATATTACTTTCTAGCATTTCTTCAGTCTCTTTAGATATCTTAGGTAGGTTAGCATTCTGTAAATACTGTTTGACTTTTTCCTCATCAACATTCTCTTGCTTATATAGTTGTCCATAGAAGTCTCGAATAATTTCCTTTTTCTCCTTATTACCATGGCAAACTTGGCCTTGGTCATCTATTAACTGCGATATTTTCCTTGACTCTTTCTCCTTTCTCAATTTATATGCTAGCCATCTACCTGGTTTATTTGCATCTTCAAAGTAATTCTGTTTAGCATTTCTAATTTCTCTGCCAGTTCTTCTTTCTCTATTAGACCCATTTTATGTTTAGTTATGTCCAATTTCAATTTAATATCTTTTTTCTGTGGCATTTTCTGTAATTCTTTTTCAAGTCTTTTATACTCGTCTTCCAAGGCTTTAGTGGCTTGCCTTTTCCTGATATTCCTTTTTCTTATGTAATCTATTATCAAGCCTCTAGCATATGCCTTCATTGTATCCCAAACATTCTGCATTGAAGTATCTTCTTTTTTATTTTCTCTAAAAAACAACAACAGTTCTTTCTCAATCCATTGTATAAAATCTTTCTCCTTTAAGATAGTATTATTTAGCGTCCATCTCGATCTTTTTTTTGTCCCTTCCATTTAATTGTCATTGGGCTATGGTCTGCCCAAGTACTTGTTTCAATGTTTGTTTCTTGAACACTAGATATTAAGTCTGTTGAGATCCAAATCATATCTAATCTGGACCACGATAAATGTCTATTTGAATAGAAAGTGTATTGTTTAGTTTTAGCATTTCTTTCTCTCCATATATCTTTTAAGGTTAATTCGTCTGTCATTTTAAAAAAGGATTTAGGGAGAATCTTTCTATTTTGCTTTGTTGTTGCTATATAGTCCATTTTTTTGTCCACAATTCCATTAAAGTCTCCCATCATAATTATATTGGCATAGTCCAGTCCAGTTATTTTCATGTGTAGTTTTTTATAGAATTCTTCTTGTTTATCATTCGGAGCATAAATTGCAATCAAGAGTATTTTTATATTATTGTCCATTATATCCACCATTAATACTCTTCCATCTTCATCAGTGTAAATCAATTTTGCTGGGGTAGCCTCTTTAATGTATAAAACCACTCCTCTTTTCTTACATTGAGTCAAAGAAGTAAATATTTTCCCTAATTTTGGCTGTACTAACAATTGTTCATGTTATTTTTTAATGTGTACTTCTTGTAAACAAATTATGCCAAACTTTAATTTCCCTAATTTATGAAAAAATTTCCTTCTTTTAACAGCTGAATTAAGTCCATTTATATTCATTGTAATCAGTTTTTTCTCTTCCATGATTATATTTTGTAATTAGGTTTGACAGCTCTCGTAGATCTTGGTTCACGTTGTTCTTTGATATCCACCTGTCCACCTACTGCGCCTTCTTCTTTTTCAGACCCCATTTGTTCCTCTTGGAATTCAATTAATGAGACCTCTTTTTCTGCCTCTTCCTCTCTCCTTCCGAAAAATTCTGCGTAGAAAAGTTCTGCTTTCTCAATTGAATCAATTCTGTGTCTCTGTTCTTGCCATGTAAACATTAGTCCTTCTGGAATCAGCCATCTATAATTCACCTCCTTTTTCAATAGCATTTTGGTCAAGAATTGACATTCTCTTCTCATCTCTCTCACTCTTCTGGGTATTTGTTTTAAAACCACGATTTCTTTGCCTTTGTATTTCAACGTCTTCTCTCTTGCTGCTTGTAATATTTGTGTTTTGATGGATTTTTTGGTAAATCTGATGTGGACTTCTCTTGGTAAATTATTTCTCATCTCATATCTTGTAAAAACTCGGTATACCTCGTCTACTCCATCCATCATCTTTTCCTCTGTTATTTCCAAAGCATCAGCCAGAATTTCTATCATTATCTCAGCCAAATTTTGTCCTTTTTCTTCCTCTATGTTTTGAAATCTGAGATAGAATTCTGACCTCTCCATCTCCCACTTCAGCATCCCATTTTTATCTTGTTCAACCACTGTTAGTCTGCTATCAATATTTCCAATCTTCTCCTCTCTTTGTTTACCTTCTTCTTTGATTTTTTGGAATCTCTCATCATACTTCACCATCATTTGTTGAATATTTGCACTTTTTCATCCATCTTCCCTGTTCTTTGTTCAATGTTCTCTATTCTTTGTTCAATAGTATCTGATAGTATCTGAATTTATCTTAAGGTCTTGGGTTCCTTGCATAATCATCTGTAAAGTCACTTTTTCTTGTTCTTTATCTTGCTTTAACATTGCCTGGATTAAACATTGTCCTCCAGATGGTGGGGAGGCAGAAGTAGAGGTAGAGACGCCAGAAGGTATGCGTTTCCTACTCATTTTAAATGATTCAAGACCTTCAAATTCTTTTAAACTTTAATCCAGTTGATAAGGTAGCCAATTTTAATCCAAAATGGAAACACCCAATAGTAAAAAGCCCAATGGTAAAAGGAAAAAAGAAAAAGAAAGGAAAAGATTCTTCAGGTTCTTCACACCTTAATCCAATTAAAAAATCTCAATAATAAAAAAAAACCAAAATAATCCAAGAGCATGGATGGAAAAAGCAAAAATCCCACTGGAAAAAGGGAAAAAAGGAGAAAAATTCTGAGGCTTTCCCTTTAAAATAAAAAGCAAAAATAAAAATATTACTAAAATAAAAGTTTACAGTAAAGCTGGTAAGGAGGGGTAACACAACTAAAAGAAGATAAGAAAACACACTGCACTTTGTTTAATTGTCCAAGGCTCTTATTATGACTCTCTTCTCCACAAGCTTCAAAGCCAAACGTCAAGTGTTAAATTGTTGATAGAAGTCTAGAACACCTGTAATAATATTCTGCCATGCTCTTCCCTCTATCTTATCAAGTTGGAATGTCCTTGAGAAGGAGTCTTTCACAGTTCTCTCCACTTCAAGTAAAATATTTTCAAGCCTCTAGTTGGCAGTGTTACAAAGTTTCTTAATTCTCACTTTCCCCCTCCTCCCAGGAAAACGTAATTGAGGTTAAAAAAGAAAAGAAAATATATACATGTATATATGAAAAGAAAAATAACCAAAGGGAGCCTCTAGTCTAAAAAAAAGAATTAAGAAATCAAGAAGGAGAATAAGAAAGTAAATATATATATAAAAGAAAATTCAGTCCGGTTATCTACTAAGTCACAATAAAGTCCAGTAAAAAAAAAGAAAAAAAAGAAGGAAAAAAATAGCCAAGCCTCACTTTGACGTCTCCCTTTAAAAGTCACCGCTTATTCAGTTTTGTCAAAAATCTCACAGCTTTCTTCTTATACTCAGAGTGTCCTTTCAAGCCTCAAAATGTTAATAAAAAAAGGATTCTCACCCAGCCGACACACTTTCTCTTTCAGCCTCTTCCTTTCCAGAGCTGTCCCAACTTCAGCAGCTTTGGGGCTGCCTCTCCGCCACCGGCAAAAAGGACTTCTCCTGGATCAACCAGGGACTTTGCAATGTCCCTGGGATCCACAGGATATGCCCTTCACGATGACCATCCCTACGGGACGGTTTAGGTCCATTTGGACCGGCCAGGGGCGAAGATATTGGCTGCAATCTTAGAGCTCGATTGCAGACCATACCATCACAACGCCAGCTCCTCCCCTCTCTCCCATTACATTATGATTCTTGATTCTTAATGAATGTACTTTTTCTTTATGTATACTGAGAGTATTTACACCAAGACAAATTCCTTGTGTGTCCAATCACACTTGGCCAATAAAGTATTCTATTCTATTCTATTCTATTTTTCAACCTCAGCTGTGCCACACAAAGCAGCTGAGGAGGGAAAAGCAGGGAATAAAAGACAGCCTAGAGGGGCAGGTGGGTGGGCCAAACTCTGAACCGGTTCAGTGTCAGCTGCTCTTTGCAGCTATAGGTTCTATAGAACCGGGCTGAGCCTGTAGCATCCCACCCCTGGGTTGTCCCATCCTTTTCAATCCCTGCTGTTCCCTGTCTTTCTCTTTTTCTTGCCTGCATACTGCATTAAATCATTCTCAGTTTCATCAACCCTTACTCACATCTTGTTTCCTTTCTTCCTCACTACATACATGTATTATCCTTTTTATTGGAAGTGGAAGTCCATAAAAGGCCAAGACCAGAGGTAGTATTCAGAAAGTTCTGACCAGTTCTGAAGAACCAGTGGTGGAAATTTTGAGTAGTTCGGAGAACTGGCAAATACCACCTCTGACTGGCCCTGCCCCCTTCTATTCTCTGTCTCCGGAGTCCCAACTGATTGGCTGGGTCTTCTTTTGTTGCCCTGCACAGGAGAATGGAATTGGAAAGTAGGTTAGTGGGGTGGGGAGGGAATGGGATTTTGCAGTAACCTTCCCCCAGGAGTGGGGAGGGAATGGAGAGTTTACAGCATCCTTCCCCTGCCATGCCACATCTGCCAAGCCATGCCCACCGAACCAATAGTAAAAAAATATTGAATCCCACCATTAGCCAAGACCTCTGTAAACCCATTTACTGAAAGTACTCACTCCGCTGATGTTATGCCAATATAGCTATAGCTAGTGTACTATTTGGAGCTTGATATTTCTCACAGGTTAGTAGTTTTACAAAATGTCTCCAACACCACATTCTATTTTAAAGATTATTCAAAGTCAGGCTTCTCACAGTGTAGCATCAAAGAGTAGTCTGGAGTATCAAGAAGTAAAACAAACTATTATAATTGCTAATTAAGGGTGTGAAACAAATTATGTTGAATGCAATTATTTTAATTTCCAAATCTTATTTAAAATACACCCGAAGATCCTATTTATTTGAATGGTTTTGGAAAAATCAGTTAGCAGGCACTGCCTTCTAAGCATTTAGTTCATGGGATAGTTAGGCATACAATTCACAGATGACAACTAAGCAATGTGTTTGTCAACTTTGAAATGATTTTGGCCAAAGCCATTTTCACTTTTGCCTTATTTCTTAGTTGCCATTTGTGAGGGGACTGGGGAGTTAGGATGGACTGGAATGTGGTGCCTTAATTTGCTAGACAAAATGTCAACCAGATGCAGTGTGAGAACCAAGTTACTCCAAACCTCAACACACTGGCCCATCTTTGCCTCTCGATTGCAGAGACGGGGCAGTTGCCATACCTCCCAGGAGACCTGGGTGGTCCTGGTTGTGCACAAGACATGGCAGAAGCCCATGGAATTAGGCGCAGCCAGACCTCACCTGTCAGTAACCGAGAAAAATATACGGCGCTCAGGGTGTTGCATTTCTATTGCAGGGAACCTGGGCACATGGCCGCCTCTTGCCCCAAGAAGCTACGAGGGGCAATGGCTACTGGGCTCGCCCCACAGCCACAGAAAATCCTGTCAGGAAATGCCCTGAGACTGACCTATGAGAGATCCTGGGTCAGGAGCACACCAACACCAAGTCACGCCCAATGGACGTGGGCCCTGGACACCACCACCCCAGCACTTGATCCTGGCAGCACAAGTATTCCTGTCCAGTAGTTCACAGTCTCTCCACTCCAATCTCTCCACAGGAGATTGTGGCATATGCCCTGGTTGACTCTGGGGCCACAATGAACTTTATGGACGCAGTGTTTGCAACCAAATATGCTGTCCCTCATTGTCCGGTGGATCCCCCTCTGCTCGTGGAGACCATTGATGGCTGGGTACTTCTGTCTGGGCCTATACCAATCGGTATCCTCTGCCCCTTATTTTTGAACTGTTGGAATGGCTCCAAGAGGCTACCATCTTCACCAAATTGGACCTGAGCTTATCATCTAGTTCGGATCGGGCCCAGGGATGAATTGGAGATGGCATCTGGCACCAGGTACATTTTGAGTATACCGTCATGTGGTTTGGGTTGACCAATGCTCCCGCAATTTTCCAGTATTCTATCAATGACATCTTCTGGGACCTCTTAGATTAGTTTGTAGTGATTTACCTTGATGATATTTTGATCTACTCTAACTCTAGGGAAAGCCACCAACAACACCTATGCCCCATTGAGTTCCTGGGGCATCACATCACTCCTGAGGGTATTGTGATGCAGCCGAGCAAGGTCGAGTCCCTGCGCAGTTGGCAACCTCCTCGGTGAGTGAAGGATTTCCAGCAACTCCTTGGTGTTTGCCAACTATTATCAGACCTTCATCCCTGACTTTGCTTTCCTGACCATGCCCCTCATTCAGCTCCTTTAGAAAAAGATTCCATTTCGGTGGAGTACCCCCGAGCAGCAGGCATTCCAGGCCTTGAAACAACCATTCATGAAAAAGCCCATCTTGAAACATCCTGACCCCCACCATCCATTTGTAGTGGAAGCGGATGCATCTGTTATTGCTGTCAGAGCAGTGTTACTCCAGGCTCAAGCACTCAGCGGTACCCTCTTCTCTTGTGCTTATTATTTATGGAAGCTCAATTCTTCCAAGCACAACTACACCATCTGGGAGAAGGAGGTAATGGCCATTAACATGGTGTTTGAGCCCTAGAGGGGCCTGACATCAAATCAAAGTCCAGATGGACCACAAAAATCTAGAGTACCTGAAGACAGCTCAGAAATTGAACCAATGCCAGGTTCAGTGGTTCCTCTTCTTTGCCAGGTTCAATTTCCATGTCACGTACATCCCAAGTGGTCACAACCAAAGGGAAGACGTGCTCTCGTGGAAACTGGAGGATTCCCACAACGAAGACCAGCTTCCACCCTGAACGGTTCTGACCATAGAGTCATTCTCCACAGTTCAGGAGCCAATGGTCTTATGGACTCAGATATGGGAAGCACAGTGGCACGACACTTCAGTGGAGTAATGGAAGGAAGAAGTCGAGTTTGCTTCTCCAGGGACATTTACTGAGGAACTCTTGCGGTACTGAGACAGGCTATATGTGCCAGTGGGCCCGCTCCGGGGACTTATCCTTTCGCAGTGCCATGATAATCCTTCAGCAGGACACTTCGGCCTCTTCAAGACCTTGAACTTGGTTTCTCGTACCTTCTGGTGGCCCCAATTATGACACAATGTCCAAGCCTATATCACGTGTATGATGCCAGCAGGCCAAGTTGGCAATAGAAGTTTCCCTGGGGCGGCTCCAATTATTGCCGACACTGGAGAAACCCTGGGCACCATTTCCATGGACTTCTTCACAGATTTACCTTTGTCTTCTGGATTTACAACCAAGTTCATGGTGGTAGACATGCTGACGAAGATAGCACATTTCATTCTGTGTTGTGGTTTACCGATGGCTCATGCCGCTACCTGCATGTTTATCCAATATGTCTTCCAGCTTCACGGTCTACCTGATAGGGTCATTTCAGACAGAGGGGCTCAATTTACAGCCCAGTTCTGGAAAGCGCTGATGATGCCTTGGACATGAAAATCTGTCATTGGCGCATCATCTGGAAACCAATGGCAGGACGGAGAAAGTAATCGGGATCCTAGAACAATACCTGCACTACTTTGTGAACCAGAAGCAGGACAATTGGGCAGATTATCTGGCAATGCCCAAGTTTGTGTTCAACAACTCACAGCACACCTCCACGCAAATGACCCCTTCCTTGGCCAATGTAGGGTATCACCCTTGGTTCTTTCCCCTCCCACAACTCGACTCACCTGTTCTGGCAGCTAATGACTATCTGACCAAGTTATAAGCTGTCCATCAATTGGTGTAACAATATGTGGAGAATGTCACAGACTGGTCTTGGCAAGCAATGTCACCATTGGCTGTGGGAGATCGGGTATGGTTATCCACCAAGCACCTGCCATCAGATTGGCCAGTCAAGAAATTAGACTACCAGTACCTTGGCTGAAATTAGACTACCAGTACCAGTACCAACGTTCCCTATTGAAGCAGTCATCACCCTGGTCGCCTACCACCTGACGAGTTCATCTGGTCTTTCATTGATCTCTCCTTGTTCCCGAATGACCGGCCTGTCCGCTCCACCAACAAGACAGTTCACAGCCAGAGCCACTTAATGGAGATGGGCCACCCAAGTATGAAGTCGTCAGCATTCGGGACTCCTGGTGGCTGAAAGGATGGTTCCAGTATCTGATTAAGTGGAAGGGTTATGGGCCAGAGGATTTCACCTGTGAAGATGCTATCTCCATGCATGCACCTGTTTGGGTGCAGGCCTTCCATGACCAATTCCCATCATGGCTGCATCCAGATCATCAGACCCAGGGGAAGAGCCCTGCGGTGAAGAGTAGTAATGTAGCCTATCAGCGACCGGCAGAGCTGGCAGCAGACTCAGACAGTGAGGAAGTTGGGGAGGAACATGGGCCAGTCTTGGAGTCTGAAGAAAGTTCTAACGAGTGCTCTGTGTCGGAGGCACAGATGGGGCCAGGGACATCTGACAGTTATCAGCTGCCTTCAGAGTCAGAGATCAGTGGGGAGAAGAACATCTGGAGCATGTTCTCAGTGTGTGCATGCACAGAACTGCCAGGAGAAGGGAATAGTTAAGGAACAAAGGTTGACTCAGAAGAAAAGGCTCAGGTGGAGCGTGAATGGCCCCTCCCATGGGGAATAAAGAGGAGCAAAAGGGGAGTGGTGTTTGCAGGAGACAATTAGTTCAATTCATTAGGGTGAAGATCTGTTCCTGACTTCTTGCCAAATAATTGCTGCTACAGTGTAGCATTTGGAAGACATCGGCCTGGCAACTCTCCAAGCCTGATAAAGGTCTGTAGTTGTGAAATCTCGTGAAAAACTATTTGCCGGGACTTTGATGGAGAGGAATTCTCTTTAACCCAGCGGTTCTCAACCTGTGGGTTGCAACCCCTTTAGTGGTCGAATGACCCTTTCACAGGGTTCGCCTAAGACCATCAGAAAACACATATTTTCAATAGTCCTAGGAACTGAGACACCACTCCTCTATCCGTCGGCCTGGCATGTTCTACTTCCATTGTCCTCCGCTGCTGGAAGGTTGGTGCCCAATCGTAAATAGGTGCACAACTTTTGCAGCCAGCTGGGGAAGTGCTCCTGGGTGGCAGCCAGGCTCCCTCGGCCAGCTCTGCACTCAGGCACCCCACCTCGGGCGAAGGCTTGGCCACAGCCGGTGAGGAGAAGCGAGCAGGGCTGCTTGGGCCAAGGGCAGCTTGGCCATTGGGGAAGCTCACCTGCCGCTCCGGCCCAGCCTTGCACATATCTGGCCAGGGGCAGCTCACCTGCTTCTGCCACAGTCAAAGAGCTGCGCACGGGCACTGAGAAGCCAAGCCCGGAGGCTGCAGCCACGTCCTGCTGCCCAAATGCTCCCACTTTGCCTGGGAAGCAGTGGTGGCACTGGGGGGTGCTGGCTGGGGGCACCATCAATCTGCCCTTATGGGCCAGGTGATGAAGGAGCTTGAGGAAGGAGGGGGATCTCCTTGGGAGAAAGACCAGCCCTGCTGCCCTTCTCTTGGCGGGGGCAGAGGGAGGTGGCCTGGGGCAGGCTGGCCAATGCTCTCAGCCATCGGGTCCCCTGGAAGAGGCAGAAGAAACCCAGTTCTCAGGAGCATAACGGAGAAGGGAGGGAAACCCTGTGGGAAGCAGTGACAGAGGCTGAAGGGTGGTGCAGAAGAGCCCGCAGGGCACCTCCAGGTCTCCCCCGGGGCCTTTCCTCACAACATGGGCCAGAGTCTGGCTCCCCTGCAGCTAGAGCCCCTTGGCCTATGCTGGGATCGCTCCCCCAGGGCCTTTCTCCCACATGGAGGAGGGAGGAGCAGTGCTGGCCTAGATGGGCATTCTGGGACTTCCCTCGGGCCACTCCCCACCCGACTCCAGTGCCGAGGCTCTGCCAGGGAAAGAGGGATCTGACCCCAGAGCTCCTGCCTTCCCTGCGGGCCACAGTAGCAAAATTACAGTTTAGCAACGGAAATAATTTTATGATTGGGGGTCACCACAACATGAGGAACTGTATTAAAGTGTCGTGTATTAGGAAGATTGAGAACAACTGCTTTAACCTAAATAAAAGGGTTTTATCAGGACTAGAAGCCTGCTTCATGATCTTGGGAAGCCTAGGTCAGAACACCCCTTTCCTTCATTAGTCTGACTGAATGGGTCAAGACTCTGCAGGGCACTTGGGGAAATGTAAAACAAGTGCTGATTAAAGCAGAAAGATTCATGAAAGTCAAGCAAATAAGAAAAGGTCCCCTCAAAGACCTTACCATGTGGGAGATAAGGTTTACCTCTCCACTTGAAGTTAAAGCTGCCTTGCAAGAAATTAGGTCTTACCTTTCTGGGGCCATTCCCAATAATGAAGGTGATTAACCCAGTTATGGTGGAATTGAAACTTCCCCGCTTATTGGGGAAAATTCACCTGGTTTTCCACAGTAGTTTATTAAAACCAGCAGAAAGATTGGCATTAAGGCTGATAGCCTGGCTGGAACCTGGTCCCATGGTGGTGGAAGGAGAGACCTACTATGAAATTAAACAAATTTTGGACTCCAGATTATACAAAGGGAAACTGCAGTATTTTGTTCAGTGGGAAGGATACTCCTTGTCGGAAGCCTCATGGGTAAAAAGCAGGGAAATAAGGGCAGTGAGGTTCATGAAGAGAACCCCCCCAAACCAAAGGAAGATTCTATGGGGGGGGGGACGGGGGACAAGGGATTAACTTGTTATTAACCTGTGCCTAGCCACCTGTCAACTTTGAAATGACTTTTGCCAAAGCCATGTTCACTTTTGCCACATTTCTTAGTTGCCTCTCATGGGGAGGGGTGGGAGTTAGAATGGACTGGAATGTGGTGCCTTAATCTGCTAGATAAAACTGTTGTGGCTCCGGGCTTGGATTCAGCTCCTGTGATTGATATGAGTTCAAGTGAGGTCATGGCAGAAAAATATGAGCCGGCCCGGCTTACTGATTGGACTGATAACCAGGATGAGGAGATGGACGTGACAAAGGACGACAGACCTGATGTATTAGAATTGTCAGGACCTTTGACCTCCTCTGGTTCCTTATCTGATCAACAGCCGGGAATGGCTGACAGGGAAGTTTTGAGAGAGTCTTCTAGTGGAGATGAGAACTTGGAAAATTTGTGGTTAAATGTAAAAAATAGAAGACGGTTGAGAAGGCAAAATCAGCTGGAGCGAATGAGAAGAGCAAGTCAGTAAATTAGCACGTTGCCTCAATGAGTATAAAAGGACACAGCTGGGCTGGTACATTTTGCCAGGAACAAAATGACTATTTGAGTGAGGACGTTACAGCAAGGAGCTCTGAGACTGGAGATTTATTGCCAGGACTGGTTTGCCGGACAGAGTAAAGATTTGTGCTGTGGTTTCTGCCAGACGTTATCTTGTAAGACTTCTTTCCGTTTGATTTAATTGTGAAACGGCTGCTTTCTGTTTTGTTTGTTTGAATTTTGAAGGGGAGTCAAAGCATAAAACATTGACCAGACACAGTGCGAGAACCAAGGTCATGGCAACGAACATCTGCTGAAACCAATGGGGAAGCTACCACTGGACTGATTGGTTAATGTGACCTGGGACACCTGAGGGGGGTGAGAAGTTTCTATTCTTTTTATTACTCTGAAGTGCAGGAAATACTCAAGGCTAGCTTCACCTAAGTGCTGATACAACATACTCAATAAAAAGTCTTTCAAGCCTGAATGGAGCTTCTGAGTCCTGACTTGAACTGACAAGTTCATTGCTTGGAATTATAACAATGTTATTTCATTATTATTCCGTTGTTCAAGAATCCTGAAGTTCTTAAAAAACATGACAAAGTTTTGACTATATAGTTCTTTAATCAATTTAACTAACTAACCTGGTGAAACCAGATATGTTCCATTTCTTTCAATATCATCTATTATATCACTCCAAAACCTGATCTGAGTGACTCAATTTGGCTGAGGCAATTGTGGAGGCCAAAGGAGTTGGGGTGGAGGTGGAGGAGCAGTCCATTCTACTGACCAGTGTTGGTTCTTTTATCTGAAAACATTAGCTGGACAATATGCATCATATTACATTGTGTTTGTTCCTTCCTTCCTTCTTTCCTTCCTTCCTTGCAAACCCCATACTCATCATTTATTCAAAATGTATGTTTATTAGAATAACATCTATTTCAAATGTAATGTGGGCAATTTTTTGTTTTGCCTTTTGTCTTCCCAGTCTTTCTTCTTTTTTATAGATATTTAAGGCTAGTTCTAGTTAATAAGAGGAGAATGACTCCTTGAAGCCAACTTTTCCATAAATCTCTAATTTCCATGCATATTCTAGTCTAGAAAGTATTGCCTTTTCTTTTCAGTAGCATGGTTGTATGCCTCACCTGTAACAGCTATCTTTCATTCACTTGGTTTGGTGACAAGTGAAGTATGTCTGTTCTGATTAACTGAAATTTTAAAATACACTCTTTTGTTCTCTCAGTATGGTGTCTTCTCATGTCATAATACAAAAGCAGTGATATAAAGAACAAAGTCCTTCTGAAGTGAAGTCAATTCCCACTGTTAGAGATCACATACAGAAAAAAGTCTCATACAAAGGGTTCAAGGCCACTGCCTCCATTATAATTGGTTTCTGACAGGTCTCATAACTGTGGTAAAGCATTAATTTATGTTGAATGAAATGTCAATATTCTATTGCAAAATGGATTGTCTGTAAGTCAATCTATTATTCCAGTTTCATAACATTGCATTCTCATCAATATATTGCTAAGTATTCCTCAGCAAATGTTCTCTCAATTCATTATAGCAGCATGATACAACACTTTTCCAGCCAAACTGTTTTAGAGACTAATCCCTATTTAATTCATACCATGCTTAACTGCTTACACTTATTCTCAAACCCCAAATCTGTAGGAAATGGTAGACTGAGGATATTATAATGAAACTGAATAGGTATTTTCATTATAGGCAGTTACTCTTGAAATTCTGAATCTTTCTCCACTAGACTATCATTCACTATTGCCTTTTGAATCCATGCTGATTTCAACCAGTTCCCTCTGTTGACTTAAATAGTGTAAGGCAAAAAAAAAAGGTTTAAAATTTTCTAGAATTGTACTTTTTAGAAACAAAATTGTCCAATATTTTTGCAAAATACTCAATTGGAATAGCTACATTGTTTTGCATATTTTTTATATTTAATAACATTAAACATCATAAATCTATTGTAAATTAATTTAGTGCCATGAGTTGTCAATAAGACTGAACAAAAACATTAAATTGTTGGCTTGTCAATTTCAATATTATCTGTGATTTCACGTTCCAGTAATTCTTACCTATTATTAATGCAGACATTTTACCTAAATGCCAGTGTAATAGTTTTTTAAAAAAATCAGTTTGCATGATTTTGCTGTATCCAGTTATCTAATTGTCCAGTCAACTGCATTATTCCTTTTTCAACATAATCAGTATTTATTATCTAGACTGGGGCTTATTATTGAGATTTTTTGTGTGGGATTATTTTAATAAAGTTTCTTTACTGTCTTTGATACATTTCTTACCCCTTACTTTTCTTCCTCTACAAATTGTTTTATCTACTTGGTTCTTGCCAACCAATCTTCTGGTTTGCCAATCAAAATTATCAAGGTTCGTATAAATCCAATTGACATGTCATGCAATATGTTGAATTATTGATATTGTTCATGAGTTGATGGATCTGATTGTATTACCACTATTTTGGCTATTCATTACAATTTCTCTAAATCCTGGCAAATTTTTCATTCTATTTTTCCCTTCATTTAGTTATGCAAAACTATTTTATGTTCTATTTCTAGTGGCAGTCAATTCTCATCTCATCTCAAAGCAGACACAAGGAAGGTGTTGAACAGGGGAAAGTCTGATAATGAAAAGTTATTTATTGAAAGGTTGTTGCCAGGACAGAGTTGCTCACCATTAAAAGCAATGAGAAGGATTTAAAGCCTTTCAAATTCTAAGGAATCAAGTACCATGTCCCTTGAGGAAGATAATATTTTCTTTCAAAAAATATTTAATTGTTATTATTAACAATTAACAAAACAATATTTAAACTAAGATAATAATAATAATAGGAGCCAAAAAGGAAAAATAGAAACAAACTAAGAAACGCAAACTAAGAAGAGTTACTTAACAAATCACTGGTTCACTAATGAATATTCTAATATAAAATAATCACTACAAAATGTTGCTGTAAAATACCACAATACATATTACTTCATCCACCTGCACGCAGCCCTTGCGAGCTCCATTTTCACTGGCAGAGGGTTGCAGGAGGCCACTGCAGCCCAAAAGAGAGCTCAGGAGGGCTGTGATCAGCCCTTGCCAACTCCATTTTCACTGGTAGAGGATTGCAGGAGGCTGTCACAGCTTGAAACAGAGCTCGGGAGTCCATTTTTACTGGCAGAACACTTGGGCCACCACAGATGCCCCTGACACAAGTGATGTTGAGCTAGCCATGCTCACCCTGGCCACACCCACCCATTCCCCCTGAGGTCAAACA